AAATTTTTTTATAATTGTCCAAGACTAGTTCATGATGTTAAATCATAAAGAAATAGTATAGATATATGATAATAAGTCTCGAATTTTGGCGCGGAATTCATACACCCATTTGGTTATATGGAGTTTTGACATTATAGCTTATGTCTATAATGAACATCCCCAACCTAATCCATCAGTTGTAAATCATAATTTCAAAAACTCATACTGGTTTGTAACCCTCATTTGATCCCAGTTATTAGGTGGACACTCTCATGGTCACTTCGACCCTTCTCATAGGTCGTCCATAAATTGTAGTCTCACCTTATTGAATTTATACCATACATAATTTAAATACATCAATAATTATCAGTTATATAGTCTTCGATATTGTTAATGAAGTTCAATATGTTTTACGATATACATGTTTGTATTCTGTAAATGTCATAAGAACATTCAATGATGTTTAGTGCCTATAAGAAACAATAAGACATATATTTTTGTTGCAATTATCTTAGTAATGAGCTAGATAATGTTATTTAATATTACAATTACAGTATTAAGTATATATCTTTAATATAGTTTATACTTTCATCACTTATTAATCTTCTGTTTAGATATATACTACTGAATATGCTACTGTTAAGAACAGTGGCATTGTTCATTAGTGATACATAGTTAATATTGAATGTATTCTAATGTAATTGTCTTTAACTGATTATATTAAAAAATTCGGCATTGAATACAAAAAAGGTAATTCTAGTTTATATCATGATACTGTTTCAATAACCTTAATTTTTACTAACTTGGAACTTATTGCATTTCTAAACATAATAAAAGATAATTATTTAGTACGTAATTGTTTGTTGACTTCCAAGTTCCTCTCAAATACAATAAATTAAACTTCTTGTGACCTTCTAAGTAATTTTCTAATAATATCAATTATGCGATTTAGCAATCAAATGAAGGATTGTGTACTTCAATTTTAACCAAACATTTTATCGGGTATCTAAGAACACCAACCTGAATATGCGTCAAGCGCAGTTGATCACTTCTATGATTGAAAGTTACTTATCTAACTCTATCTGTCAATTATTTCAAGAAATATTTTGATAACTATTACGCATAAAGTAATTAATGAAAAAAAAATCAATAACATCAGATACCTATCAACTTTTATTTTCATAATTTGTTTATTTATCAAACAATAACCTACAACATTAGAAAATAAACTTTATTCATTTCCTAATATTAAATATCAAAGTGACTGGTGAATCGACTAACCCTATGATAAAAACATTGATATTTAACAACATTCTGTCGGCGTTTAATGTTGATTGCTTTATTCTCAGACACCAGACAAAAAAATAGACGATTCAATACCAAACTTTTAATTATGGCTATTTTATAAATTATTGACTCATAAATTTCATAAAGAATCTAATGAGATATCACTCTTTCTGATAGTTTTATTCTCTGAGCTGGATAGTTTAGTCATGGAGCTATCATCATTCTTCTGAACAACATCATCATCATCATCACAAACTTGAGGTTGAACTGAATTATGTTCAAATTTCTTGACATATGGCTTATAGCTTATCCTATAAATATCGATGTTGATTGGTTCTTAACAATAAGTCAGTCAGTCAGCTACAATGTAGGACCAGGCACATACATATATCGGTCCAAGTTGCCATACCGCATCAGCAGAGCAAGATGAACACCGGATTCATAGAAGTAATTAATTCAATGGTGGAAATATATGAAAGAAAGATTGAATATAAGGATATAGTACAGGAAGAAAGAATTAGTACGTAGAAAGAAAGATATTTAGCGATTTTAATCTCACAGTTTAAGGGAATGCAGAAAGTGTATACACCTACGTCATAGTGATCGATTCTGAGCCATGTCACCAAGAGTCTCCAACCATTGACTACCATAGTCATGAGGACCTCAACCAAGTAGTTTGCATCAACTAACATGGCTCAGGTTAGAAGTTAGTGACTTCAAGTACTGATGCCACGTTTTTGGTTTGGCCATCCCTAACTTTCTTCCAACGATCCTCAACACGAGTCAACACTGAGCGTCGTGTTAATCAGAGTTCAGGCATAAGTAACACGCGACCCAACAATCTTAATAATAAAACCTTACCACCATGAAAAAAAAGTTTTTTCTTACGACAAAAACAAAATGACTTAAGAAAAATATTAATTACTTGACTAAGAAAAGTGTTGCACGTTTATTATTTTTTTCAAAAAAAACCCCATATTATTTGAAATGTAGACTCTTTAAAAAAACAAAACAAAACAAAAAAAATAGGAAAATATTTTCATTTCAATGCACATACAATTGATTGAATATTTTCTTATTGACCGATCATTCTTTGTGATACTTATTTTTTGTCTTTTTTTCTTTTTCTTTTCTTCTTTTCTTTTAAGTCACTCGTATACTATAAAATTACTTATGCTAAGATACATTAGTGAAATTAAAATCTTATTTAAATATGACCTTATTAAATCTAACTAAAAAGAAAAAAAAGAAAGTTACAAATATCTTTCACTTCAAAGAAACACAAGTTGTATAAGTTCATAATAGTTATATTATACTAAAACTTCCGGTCAGTTAAATTAAATCTGTTCCTTTAAATATGTTGCATGTTTAATTTAAGTATATAAGTAGATAGTAATTTTAATTATGGTTATTTAAATTATGAGAAGATTGTGTAGTATTACCGTTAACATAATCGACAACAACAACAATGAAAAAATGCTGAGGTCATGAAAATTCCAAATATCATTGATGATATTTAACTTTACAAATTTTCAACATTACCCACGTGCATATAACCACTGCCAGAAAAGTCCTACTTACTGCCTTCTCGTGACGAGAGTGTTGTCTACGAAATCAAGAGGGCAAAAAGCCAATGTCCGAAGCTTTAACCGGGTTCGTGGATATAGAGGATTCATCTCGAGGAGTTATTCGGAAAACCCTAATTCCAAAACACTGGTGCACATGGGCTCTAGGATTCTAAGGAAACAAATGGCGTATCAGCCTATAGTTAGGCATTGGCTACCATTGGACTGTATCTCTTGACGTTGCTCTACTGTCTTGTGGATTAGAACATCAGATAAAAGACTAGAGGTGTGGACCCCCTTATGAAAATCACCCGCTTTGGTTTGGGTACCCAGGCAATATCTCAGCCCTCACAAAAATCGAATGACGAAGTAAGGCGCATATATATTTGGTGCCTCATTGTATCAACGTTTATGTGTTTGAATAAATAATAAATAAATCCAAAGGTATTTTGAATCATATGGCTAATCAGTAAAACTATATTTTAACAACAAATTGTCTGAGTAACAAACATTAAAAAATAGTTGTTTTGTGACACTCATAACTAAAGACAGTGTACAAGTATTATAACAGTAAAAGCAAGTTAATAAGTTTTCATTTTAGCTTTAAAACAACGGACACAATTACTTTGAATTAATCCCAAAACCTAAAGACCAAGCACTATACAGTACTCATCAATAACACAGGCTGACTATTCCAGAATAATTAGGGTATTTTATAAATCAGGGTTTTCCGACTAACTTCCACAGATGGATCCTCCATGCCCAACGACCAGTTTAAAGAGTCCAGCATTCAGTTTTCATCCTCTCAACATGATAAACAACACTTAAAAAGACACTTTTCTGTACTACTGATCTCGAATGTACTATCCAATACTTAAAACACTGAAATAATGCTCAAAAAACAAAGTAACGATTATGCTTGATTATATACTACAAGATAAGTAGTAATTAATGGTAGCGTTCACTTTCTTTTAGTTATATACACATTTTACAATCTACATTAGATAATTAAAAGTAAATTATTCAGATGATATTTACCTCATATTTTAAAAATTACTATTTTTCTTTTAAATCGTATTATTATTATTATTATTTAGTAAATTAATAAATAGACAGTAAATATAATGTAAACTACATTTACCGTAATCATTTATTATAATCTATTATATTACTTTTATTAATGTGTTTTATTTAAATTAACTTTTTATCAGATGAGTTTTGTGGATATAATAGTAATTTCAATGGTTAAGAACATGAGTCAGCTGAAGCTAGACAACCATGGAAAACCTGGAAGCACTAAATGGCCCTTTCGTCCTAGTACGGGACTCTTCAGCAGTGCGCATCCACGACCTCGCCCCCTGCGAGATTTGAACCCGGGACCTACTGGTTTTGCGCGCCAGCATTTAACCACTAGACCACTGCGAGTAATAAACAATACTAAAAATGAGTTAATATATAACTACACAAATGATAAGATCAATAAATGATCAGTTAGTGATTAAGGAATTTAGTTATTAGTTATTAATTCTATATGGTATAATGCCATTAAATTCAGTAGTCATATAAAATTATGTAATAATTAGGATTTTAATAATATTGTACATTTGATAAACTTTGTAAAGTGTTTATTTGTAAATTATTAATGCCTTTTTATCGCGTCCCTGAAGAAAAAGATAACTAGGAAGGTTAAATGAAAATTATAGATGTTATCCGATTTCCTCCATGGTTGTACGCTTAATTAGGTTCACGGTGATTATACTTCAAAAAAGATTACTCATATTTGAACTCAAAGTTTCTGGCAAATGGAAATGTGTTACATCGTAACACATACAAAATTACTCTACACGAATACTTGAAACTTCATTTTTTGTTGTTTAATTATAACCATACCACCAAACTAATGTTGATAATACTATACATAAATTGATGTGATTTTTACCATAAGTTCATATACGTTAAATGTTTAACGAAGATTATACAACTGTTTTGTATTTTATTAATGAATTTTTCAATAATGAACTTAAGTTTACACTTCTGTACTACAATTATTTATAAATAAGTTCTACAACATTTAATCTAATTAAGCACTAAAACAAACAACAGATAAATATATAACTTAGAAAAAGGTTTTATTATTATACAATAATTGAATCATATTTTAAAACTAACCTTGGTCTCCCATAAGTTAAATAATATGCATTCATTTCTGTCAACAAATCTTGTATAGCCTTTTTATCTTGAAATATTGATGATATTCTTTGCATTACTTTATTTTCTAATTGTAATCCATTATCTAAATAAGATCGTTGTGTAGTTTTTGGAGTTTTAATTAATTTGACTACAGGTGAATCAATTAAATATGTAGGTAATGTAGATGAATCTGATTCTAATATTGTCTCTGAATCTGTTGACGTTTCCGTTAATGGTGATAAAATAGTATTATGTAAATGCATAGCATCTATGCAAAGATTATTATTCACGTAAACTATTGAATAATTAAATAAGATTATTATAATTAGAATTTGTATAGTTTTATTTAATAATAGATAATGTTTCTTTTTAGTTGCTTCTATATAATAATCAGTAATGTTATGTGTTAAAGGGTTTTTTAAAATTTTCATAATTTCAACCTTTTCAGTGTTATTATTACTATTATAAGAAATCATTTGATCACATTTAATGTAAGCACTTTCAGTTGATTTCAATGATAAATTTTCAAAATTTACGCGTATATATTTCATAGATGAATTTAAACGATTCATTGAAATATTACGTTTTGTCCATGACAAATGAAATTGAATATTATTGAACAATTCAATAATTTGTTTGAATTCAGTATTAGAAGTCAATTTGTTCCAATAATTAATTAATTGTTTAATAATTAAATAATTAAATTGTTTAATAGCATAGATTATAATAGAATAATAATAATAATGATAATTGACTAATGGATTAATAAGCATTCAATAATAACATCTAGGTTGATTTTGTGTAAAGAAAATAAGAACAATCAAGTTACAAGGATATACATATATATACGTATGTAAATCCCTGTAAAATAATTTCCATTAAGATATTGGTAAATATGATTTTATAAAATCACTTAAACAGGGTTTCTTGATTTGTGCATATGTGTGTGTGCGTGTGTATATGTTTACATTTTTCAATAGTCTATAAAATACATTTCAACTCATGTTATTAGAGAAAATTAACAAGCCCACTCAAATATGACGACTATAAGAATCGACTCCCACGCATATAAAATCCACCATATAAATTATCCAATCTTTATTCTATATTTATTGAGAAATTTTGTCCTGAGGAAATTTTTGCATTTTTTTTGTGAAAAATATTTTTTGGAAAATTATTATTAAATATAGTTTTAGAAATTATCATTCAACTAAGAAATTTAATATGGATATAATAAGAAGTATTATTAAACTTATATCATAATCACCAACGTGTTTAACTCAATTCAACAATGAATAAAACACAAAATAAGACAGTTATTATGAAATCTCTAGTACTTATAGTACTAGGTGGTAATTATGTACTCATATAATTATCGGAATATGATCACGATAAATTTTCTAAACAATTTTTTGTAGAAAATATAGTATTGGAGAATATAAGTCATTATGATATCTGTAAATCAACAAACGTTTAACAAAGATTGACACTTTAAAAAAAGGAAAGTTTTTTTGTTGTTAATATGAAAAATAATTAGTGCAAAAGTTGATAGAGAGGGACTTCTAATTTCTTCCTTAAAATACACAGAACAATAGGATTGTTTCCATTAACAAGTGATTTTGAATAATATAATATCGAAATTGTTTCGATTATATTCATGAGTTGATATTTAATACTACACTGATCAGTGATGTAGAGTTTTAGATCTAATGATTAATTAACTTTATATTATGAAACTAGATGGTAAAAAGTTCTTTTAAATAAAGGGTAGTTAATTTTTAAGATAATGAATACCATAAAAAAGTAGTATACATTTTTACAATTTAATTGTTCCAAATTCTTTATTACCAAAAAAGAAAGGTTGTTCGTCAAAGGAAAATATTACATCTTCTCTAAATGTAGTCATAATGTATTTCTACTGATATATCAGCAATTATACATTTCTTGAAATTTTCTTTATCTATTTCAACTAATGAAGAACCTTATTGTTTATGTGGTTTTTAAATGATTTAAGAGAAGTATTTAATTATATCTGTATTTATTCTTAAAGATATCTTTGTTAAAGTACATTGCCAATACAGTGATATTACAAATAACATATTTCAATAAACTTCATACAATAATAGTAATAATAATATATAACCAAATAGTAAACTGCATATTTAGTTAGAGGATTAAATTATAGCTGAATGTTTTTATGGATATTTTGAATACTTTAACAATAGAAAATCATAATAAACGATAAACGGTTGCTATAACAAACTTACTGAATATTTTACTCAAAAATTCATTTCACTATCTTTCTTATTGTTAAACTAATCAGTTTACGGTCATTTACTTACTTACTTACGCCTGTTACTCCTCTTAAAGGAGCATAGGCCGCTCACCAGCATTCTCCATCCAACCCTGTCTTGGGCAATCCTTTCCAGCTCCTTCCAGTCATTATTCATCCTTTTCATATCTGCTTTTATTTCCCGACGTAGTGTGTCCTATCCATTTCCATCGTCTTTTCCTAATTTCCTCTTCAGCTGGAAGCTAATTTGTTCTCTCCCACAGAAAGCTGTTGCTCATGGTTACAGTCATTTAACTAAGAGTTTAAGTTTTATTTAATTTGAGTATAAGTTCTAAACAATATCCAACCTTCAACTATTCACTTTAAATCAAAATAAAGACAAACAAGCTCATGTTGTAATGAACAGAACACTGGTGGGGACAATCGAATGTTTTTAACACAAAATCACAGGACTTGTTAATAAAATCTAACAATCAAATAGTAAATACGTAATTTGCAAAATGTCCACCGATTGTCTCAAAATGACCCAGACTTCATTGTTCTTGCATTTTCATACGAATCGCATCCTGTTTCCATTCTTTACTGTTCGATCCTCTTGTCTCTCCGCTTCCAGACCTTCTGTTCACGACTAACATCATATACTACTTATGTCAATATGAGTAGCACACACCACAATGTGACATTCTATTTAAATATGGAATATTTATGTTGTCTTTTCTTTTGAATTTCTTTTCACTACTGTCAACTAAAACAGTGTATAAAACTCTGATTTAGTTTTTAAAAATCAAGGTTAATAATTGAACATTTTGTCATTTTTCGAACTTGTATTTAAAGGAACTTCATAGTGTAGTGAACGAGAACATAAATGGGAACTATTAAATGTATTTGAGCACAAAATTACAGAACATCTTAGTGAAATCTGAGAAACATACAGTAAGTACTTAATTTGTAAAATGTCAATCAATTGTCTTAAACTTGATTGTTCCTGTATTTCCATAGCAATTGCTTTCTGTTCCCGTTCTTTACTCCACGATCTTCTCAACCTTCTGCTGTCTGACATTCTATTCCTGACTGGAGTTATATGCTACTTATGTTGACACAAGTAGTACACACTACAATAGTACATACGACTGAATTAAACACCCAATCTATTTGCTTGTAATTAGTACAGTATCATGTTGGCTTTGAAACTTTTAGATCTCTTACTACACATAACAATGTGATATCATACATAAAATGACTATTAGTAATACATATAACATTGATTTATGTTAAGGTAATTATTCGTTATCCTTTATGTTAAGAGTCTGATGTTTTTATTGGAACTTCTTAACTTACAAAAGAAATTGAATTTCACTTACTCAATCGTATATCAATTATCTCATTGACACTACTGATTGTCAGTTCGTGTAAAGTCTAACTTGGTTTTAATACACTGTTTATTCTTATGCAGTGAATTTCCATTCCAAGGGGATATTTAAACACGATCATAATCATTATATGAAAAGCCATTTATTTAGATACGCTAGCATTATATTACAGTTAAGAATTAATTTATTTTGAAAAGAAACTCCTGATAAATTTCATGTGTTGATGAATTCGATACTTGAATTCAAAGGTTAAGAAATGTAGAAAGAATTTTGCCTTTTTTATTACAGACTACCATACAAGTGGTCTACATATTTTCAAAAACAATTCATTATTATTTAGGTTGTTTACACCTCACCTTATAAATGTTTCATAATTTATAGGGAATTACTTATTTTTTTACGCCTGTTACCCCTCGTAGAGGAGCATAGGTCACTCAACAGCATTCTCTATCGAGCTCTATCCTGGGCAGCCCTTTCCAGTTGCCAGTCATTATTTTGATGTCTGCCATCGGTTCTCGGAACAACTTGTTCCTTGGTTTTCCTCTTTTCTTCAACCTCGTGATTCAGTTCAATGTCCTATCCACCTGAACGGTCTTTCCTTAATTTTCTCTTTAGCTGGAAGTTAATATTTTCTCTCCCACAGAGGGCTGTTGCTGATGGTATCCAGCCAATGGATGTTGAGTATCTTGCGTAGACAGCTATTTATAAATACTTGTACCTTCTTGATGATAGTTGTGGTAGTTCTTCAAGTTTCAGCTCTATACAGTAGAACTGTCTTAACGTTTGTATTGAAGATTCTGACTGTGATATTGGTTGACAGTTTTATTGACTTCCATATGTTCTTCAGTTGTAAAAATGCTGCCCTTGTTTCGCCAATCTCTATCGTTACATCTGCACCAGATCCTCTTTGTTTATCAATGATGCTTCTCGGGTACGTGGTTTCTACATCTTTCAGAGTTTCTTCACCAAGTTTGATTGGGTTGATGTTCTCCGTATTGTATTTCAGGATCTTGAACTTATAGGGAATATATATTGAATATCTAGTGAGACATTTCCAATAATGGTGACGCCATTTGTGAAAAAAACTATTATTACATTAAAGAAAATTATCATTGATTTTGTTTAGACACGATGGATTTCTTTCCTCGCCATTAAAATTTTCGTTCATTTTCAACATTTATTTTTCTACCAGGAAAAACTAACCTGGTAACTAAGTTCTGTTTGATTAAGAATTGATTTTGAGCAATACAAAGTTGTAACCTCTTTAATATGACACACTTGCCATAGTAACTATTTATTGTTCATTATTGTTTCCCACTGATATAGTATTCAGAATAATTATTTACATATGTTAAACATTCGTTTATAATTTAACTTAACTAAATATGTGATTTATTGCCTAAAATCCAGTATTACAGACATTTGTTACTTATTACTTATTTATAATTATCCTGATAAAAACAATATTCTCAAAGGAAAACTCAGATATAATAAGATATGAATATTTTATCACATGTTTAAATACTTTTGTAATTATAGACTAATGAAGTGTCTTCGAATGACTGAAAGATAAATTAATAAATTTTGTAATATCATTTTCAAGAGGTAAGATTATCTTTTAAGACACCAGATGACTGGGCGTAATTCTGATACTTATGTGAGTAGATATGTTACAGCAAATTGATACTTTGAATAGACTTTTCATATTTTTAAATGTATATATAGTTTGTTCAAATTTATAATGTAAGAGTTGAATAAATGAATAAATATTTGAGTTATTGAAACCTAACTAAATGCGGTTGAATAACGACAACTGGTGTATAATTAGGTAGTGTACTGTGCCCAAGTTACCAATAGCATTATAATAAACATCTGTCCTACCAAGATAAAGAGGGCGTGATATGCTGTG